CTTTAGGGAATCCTAACTAATACATTAGCTCTGATAACTGCATGCTGCATGTTGTTATCCCCCAGAGTATACAAAAGTGTTGCTTGTACTGTACTCCTTCCTGTCCTTATTACCTCTAGGGCTTTATACTGTTTGTTCTGGAAGAATATGATTTCATTACTATCAGATTATTTTTGTTCCTTGTGAAGCACGTATTGGTGTTACCTTGGGGTACTGCATAAATAATACAAATCTAGCAATGCTTCTCTGATGAGAGGGCTTAAGTCCAACCAGTTTGTTCAAAAGATCCTTGATTTTGTCTCAGTGCCTAGAAGAAAGTCACGTTTGTCGAGAAAAGGGAGATTAATCTAAAGGAGGAAGGTGTGATGTTCTTTTGTCCTCAGCCATGTTCATGGGGAAAACATGTATGTGAATGAATGAGAAACTGAGTGAGCATTATGGTTAGTTCAGCATAAACTCTTCATTAGTTGTCGTCTTCAAGGAAGAATCCTGTCTTTATACAAAGCACAGTTCGCATCACCACCTATGAGCCTCATTCATGCCAGTCTTACCTAGAAAATTCGTATGTAAGTGCCTCACTCTGGGTGAAAATGCACACTGCAGAATAAGGATTAATGTCAGATGAGATCTATATACAAAAATGCGCAGACCAGAATGAAGACTGGTAAGCTAGTGCTTATGTCTTTAAGAATATGATTTAAATAGTTTCTGAATCCTAAATTTTCTTCAGAATAAAAAAAACCAGAATACCTATCATTTATTTATATACACTTGTTATTTTCACAAAATATAGAATTTGAATTTCAAAGAAAATTTTATCCCTTTTGACATTTCTTTTTAAGACGTGAAAAAAAAAACTTTTGATCTTCAACATTGAACTTTTATTTTCAACAAGAATCAGGAACTGTCAAAGACAAACTGTTTTCTATCATACAAATAACTTGATCATGGATAATAAAATCACAAACCTCAAAGCATAACTAACCAGACAAATGGTTCTACATTGTTTGAGCCAGATAATGAATGGCTCACAAGTGATGGATTATGAATTCCAAAATGATTTCCCTTCAGAATATAACAGAAATATGACTGAAAAAGCAGATTTAAAATACAAAGTAGAACCAACACAGAACTATCACCTCAATTTTTAACATATAAACGTATAAATTCTATGAGAACCACTTGAGAGAAAACCATTTTGAATCAAAAGCATCATGTTGTTAACACAAGGAAGTTGGATGTTGCAGGATGAAAGATATTATCTGCCTTATTTCATCTCTTGTCCCCAACTGTAGAAAAATCATAGCCTATGTCTACCAACCACTATCTCCAGCCAGTGACCTAGAGGCATGCCTATCAACCATGCCCATTCTGTGGAATTCTTAATCGTCTTGTCTTGGTCTTAGCTGTCTAACAAGAGAGTCATTACGGAAGAAAAAAATAAGCTATTGATAAGGTTTCTGCATTACCAGTAGGACTTAAAAGAACGCAGGTTATGTCAAAGCATAGTCCATCCTACTGAGGTAAGGAACAGCAGTGAGTTTGTTAAAATGCCAATAACAACAAATTCCAAGGAGGCATGGTGAACTATGGTGTAGCAAAATTCTGGAGACTGACAGTTTGATATGTATTCTTGAGCCATTGAACTACATTACTTCGTAGTGCACACAATACTTTCATTAAGTATATATAATGCCATACTTCTAGTAGCCTGCCTGTGCCTCATCTCCCACCACTCCTTTCTCCTCTCTCTACACTCCAGCTCTGCTAGGCATTTCTCAGGATGCATCGTGCCTGTTCCTGACTTACGAGTATTCACACCTGCTCTTCCCTCTGCCTAGGCTCTCCTCCCTCTCACCAGGGTAATTCTACTTATGGAAAAGTTTCTGTTAAATGCAATTTCCCCTACTATTGTGTCACAGGAATTTTCAGGATTCCTTCAATATACTCACTAAGTTGTAGTCCTTACTACAATGTATTCGCAGCTGGCTTTGGTTGTAATATATGACAGTTAAATTCTGAAGTCCAAGAGAAGAGGGATCCTATCATTTGGGGTTCTCCAAACATATTGTAGGAATAACTAAGTCAATGTTTGAATCAATAAAGGATTCTCTTGGGAAATAGTGTGTTATTCTGAACACTATTCAAATCCTACTGCTACACAACAGAGACTAATGATTGGTATTCAAAAGGGGGAACTCTTTTTAGTATATTCTTGCTTGACTGTACTTACCTCCTGGATCCAGATGAAAGCCTCATGGTTTTCCTTGAGGACATTTGGGTGATCAGGAAAGTGATCAGGAAAAAAATTCATGCTGGAATTTAGGACAACACAGAACCTATATACCTTGCCCCATCTGCTTGAATGATGGGAAGGAAAGAAGGTCTCCATTAACATTTAGCAGCCCACAATGGACACCTCGTGGACCATGGCAGAGAAAAATCTCACACAGACTACAACCAAATGCCATATGGCAGAGGATCTTCATGAGCCCTGGAAAGATTCAAAGAGATCTAGATATTATAATTTGGTCTCATATAAATTGTGCTAATTGTTTTAACCTAACACAATAAAGAGTCATTGGAGTATAGTGATTTCAAGAAAGGCCATTGTATTAGTTATTTTGTTGTGATAAGACACTCTGACCAAGAGCAACTTAGGAAGAAATATTTTACTTTGCCTTATGGTTCCAGAGGGATAGAGTTAATGGTGGGAAAGGCATGGCAGCAGGCAGCAACCTGGTTGGTGACATCTCAACCCCACACAGGAAGCAGAAGAGGCAAGCAGAAAATAGGGTAAGGCTATAAACCATCAAAGCCCACCCCAGTGACATATTTCCTTCAGCAAGGCTGCAGTTCCTAAAGGTTCCATAACTTCCCCAAACAGAGCCACCAACTGAAGACCAAGAGCTCAAATACATTAATCTGTCAGGGACATTTCTCAGACCACAACAACCATCAATGTGGGTCTGGAGAAGAGAGACTAAGTAACATTGCAGATGTAAGAGAAAGTGCCACCATTGTTGGAACATATTTGATCTGCTGTGTGTGATACATTAGGAAAGAATTACTCACTGAGCCCTGGATCCTCATTGGTGTTCCACAGACACCAATGAACTGGAGAACTATTTCACATGTGTCCTCCTTGGGGAGTCATAACGTATGCAGGACATAGAAAGTTTGAGAAATTCTGAGCAAAGAAGGTTCTTCAACTCAGTTCATAATGAACACTTATTTTGAGAAACAGATGTGTGTCAATCAGGACAGTTTTAGTGTAGCTGCTGTATCAAATAACTTGCAAACCTCAGTGACTTGAAATAGTGAGGGATAATGGGATAATGTACAATGTGAAGACCCTTGTCACATAGTCCTCACTCCGAGAGCCAAGCTGTCAGAGCTGTGGATGTTTTCCCAAGTAAATATTCCAGCCTCAGAATGACTCTACTTTGGAACTGAGCTGATAACTTACTGGACAGAACTAGGCATACAGCCCCTCCCAACCATGAGGACTAAGGAAGTACTTTCCTATCATGTTCCTGGAAGGTAGGCAGTCAGAAATGATGGATTGCACTTCAAACAGCTAATCCTGTTCATTCAACCGAACACTAATATTCATTGAAATATAGTTGGGACGAACTGCTTGCCTGTGGCTTTAAACTCAAGAATTGATATAAGAATTCAAGAATTTTTAGCATCTGTACTGAAGTTGAATGATCATACACACTCAGAAACAAGAGCTGGAAGGCTGATTTTTGTGTAACATTTGCCTGAGTTAGGTGTTACAAAGATTTCCTTTAGAAGATTTTATAAAAAACAATCTCTGTTCCTATTCACTTAAGGTTTCCAGTGGAATTCCTACAACAGATAAAATAATTTTCTAACCAGTTGATTCTTTTTTCATATAGAAATGCTGTACAACAGAAAAATGGGTACCTTCAAATCAGCCTCTTTCTATCTACTGGAGCAAGGTATTCCATAAAGGCCCATTTACAATGTCTTCTTCACAGTGTACAAAAAAATAATATCATGATACATCTTGAAATAACAAAAAATCTTGAAATTACAGCAATAAAGTTGACATGGAATTCATCTAAACAGAAGAAATTAAATGTATTCTGTGCTACTATAAAAAGTAATTTTGGTAAAGCCTGTTGAATCAAATTCTTTACTGCTTTGACATCTTGGTGGCCAAACTTACAAAATGGTAAAGCACAAGAGTTTGTGGTGATACTTTGAGTTATTGAGTACTAAGCACAATGAAGGTGCTTGTTAGTGGTAATTCTAGAGTCCTTAATTCATTATTTCTGTGAGAAATACAGATTGTTAAATTCCTGTCATTTCCTCGGCCACCTCTTAGCACCTCTCTTGGTCTTCCATAACTATTTCCTTTATACTAACACAGGTAAATTATCTAATGTATGTAAAATGCTTTGAACAATGCTTGACTTATAGTAGTCACCAAGTCTTTGTTATTTTACATTTTACAAGTGATGCTCATACCCTACAGAGATTCTGAAGTATGATTTTCTTCAATTAAATTCAAGCAGTTCAATCAAATGCTCCCAGAGGGGAGAGAGTTTACTCTCCAAAACAACTTCTTTAATATGGTTTCCTTATTTAGGACAGAAAAGGAAAATGTCCTTACAAGTGGCCAAAGTGATCAAAAGTATTTGCATACATATCTAGATAAATGTTCCCAAGCTATTTCCTGAAATGGTAAATACTGAGAACAAATCAAAAGAAAATTTAGTAATTATACTACAAAGCAGGACGAATTACAACAGCCCTGTTGCCAGGCCTGGGAAGCAGAAGCAAGTGGATCTCTGTGAGCTCAAAGTCAGTCTGGTCTACATAGTGAATTCCAGGCCAGCCAAGTGTACACAGTGAGACCCTATCTCTACAACAAAAACAAAAAATAAATCAGCACACTGCATTGCCTGTCTCCACACTGCATTACCACCAGACTAAGGTAAATTCACTTCAGTATCATTAAAGTGTTTCAGTATATACTTTATTCTTATAATAATGAATCCGATATGTTCTAATCATCTCTGGTTTCTCATACATCATCCATACATCATTCATTCCATTCACTTAAAGCATCATCTTCACGTCCAGGTATTTCTGTTGGTGACTGGTCAAGAGACGTCAAGTTTTTGTACCTCATAGAACCCGGTTCAGAATGTACCTCAGTAGTACAGGCTTTCACTTCCCAGAAAGACTTCACTGCCGCCCTGATGAAAACAAAAACAAAAACAAAAACAAAAACAGAGGGCATAATATGAAATGAAAGCAAGGCTAAATGAAGTGCATGTCTAAATTCCCATTATATAGAAGTGCCTTTTATTCACAACTCAAATCGACTTGGGAATAAGCCAGCAGCACTGTGATAGATAAACCCTGGGATTTTCCAGGGCAAAAATACACATAGAAACATATTTGCATATAAGTGAATTGGGGCATTCATAACAATAACCAAGTTTTAAATATGTGAGAACTACAATTAGGTAACACAAATATTCAAACTATTCTTTTTTTTTAAAACAATTGCCTTGTAAAACTCATATCTAAAGTCTCTCTCATGGCTGGGAAGCAAGACATGAAATTGTTTTTAAAGGCCTCCACATATGAGATGGAATATCTTGAAAGAAGATAGCTACAGAAGAAGGTAGGAATTCGTCAGTCTTAAAGCACACAGAGGAGACATGGTGGGCAGGGTTCTGCACTTCACAGAAAGGCAGAGGGGAACTGAGGGGGTGTGTCAATCAAAGGTGACAATGCATCCCAGTCATTTACCTACCAATTTATGATGATGAAGATCAATACGAAAATCACAAATACACAGATAATGACTCCTATGGTCAACACAAAAACTAGGACTGCATCAGTGTCTGGTCGGCTTGATCTCATCTGCAATTCTAAACATTTAGAAATACCCAATGATTATTTCTACTAGAAAAAGAAAGGAAATGGCTATCTACATGGAACAGTCCTGTAAAAGTTATTTTGTGGGCAATTTTTACTTCTGTGAGATAAACGGGTAGAATTGCTGGTAACAGGGTATGGTGTACTTAGTTTCCTGACAAACTAGGAAGCCTTTCTCAACTGAGGTCCTGGCTTCATGGCTTGAATTTCTCCCAGAGTTTGACATGCCTATTCGTTTTCCAAGTGACTTATTTTGGTAAGCTGAAGTTTTTTAATTTAGATGAAGTCTGATTTATTCAATGTTTCTTTTTATGGCGATTGTTCTGTGAGTCATGTCTAAGAAGACTTTGCCCATTACTGAATCATGCAGGCTTTCTCCCATGCCTCCTCCTTAAAGCTTCATGGACTTAGCTTTTATGTTTAGGAGTATGATGTATCTCTGTTTTTTAATATGACATAAGATTGGGGCTCAGTGTTCTCCATACAAATATCCATACACCACTCTAAAGTCAGAGTCTTTCTGCAAACAAGGCCATTAAAGAGGCAAAGCTGGTCTATAGCATGTGTGACAGCATCACCACCTGCTGAAAAGACAGTCTATATCAGCATTATATTTGTGAATTGCATAGCTTTGCTGTGGTTCTTATGAGCCCCAAATTCTAAATCACACAAAAGATATCCACAAAGAAGAAAGAACACAGAGACCATCTGGCCTAAACACTGTATTACACACGTGAGTAAAACAAGGGTTGGGGAGGTTTAATGATTTGAGAAATCTATATTTTGGTTATTTTAATATTTTAACTTTGATAACTGTCATAGATTTTTCAACTTGTCACAAACCTAGACAGGCCTGGAAAGAGGCTGGAACCTCAACTGAGGAATTTCCTCCACTAGATTGACCTGTGGACATGTCTGTGGGGCACTGTCTTGATCATTAATTTATATAAGAGGGCCCAGTCCACTGTGGGTGGTACCATCCCTAGGCAGGTGGATCTGAGAGGTATGAAAAAATAGTAGCTGAGTAAGCCAGGGGAAGCAAGCCAGTAAACAACATTCTTCCATGGTCTCTGCTTCAGGTCCTGCCTCTAGGTTCCTGCCTTGAGCTCTTACCTTGGCTTTTCTTGATGATGGACTGTAAGCTGTAAGATAAAATAAACCCTTTCCTCCTCAAGTTGCTTTTGCTCATGGTGTTTATCACAGCTACAGAAAGCAAACTAAGATAATATTACTCTGGGTGGTACTGGCTAGGCAATCTCAATTGCTTATTTTTCTGGACTTTTCCCTATTCTCTATGCCATGGATCATAAATCGTTGTTTTTCTTAGAAAGTTCTATAGTATAAGTGCAGTTTAGTGATCTCACTTGGAATGGTCCTAAGTACAATTGAGAGATTGCATTATATTTGTTCTCCATTACTGTCAGATGTTTTAATCTTTTATTTTGAAAAAATTTCAGATGTGTAAACATGATAGATTTTTTAAACAATCTTTAAGACTAAATTCTTGAAAGAAATGAAAATTTTATTTCAATTTATTGACTATCATACAACATTAGGCAAGAGAGGGTAGAGAGTGGGGGGTATAGAAATTTCAGTTCATTTGAACTAATAGTCTTCTTGCAAAGAATGAATAGAATTCTATCTAATTTTTTAAGAGAGCTGAATTTCCCATTAAGATTTTATAATAAAAATGGACTGAATTTCAATAGCCTTACTTTTTAGATAAATATAGCTTATATGAATGTTAGTTTCCTAGGGCTACCAAAACAAAGTACCATAAATGGTGACTTAGCAGCATCAGAGATTTGCTTTGTATTCTAGACAATGTAAGGAAAAAAATGTGTTGGTAGGGCCCTGTGAATCTTCTGAAGGCTCTAGGAGAGGACTTTGGTGCCTCTTCTGTTTCTGGTAATGCCAGTCTAGAGCTGAACTCCAATTTCCAACCTTGGTCTCTGGTTTCAGGTGCCTGTCTCCTCTCTGTCTCTCTTGTCCTTCATATGGCTTTCATGTGGCATTATTTTTGCCCCTCCCCTCCCTCTTCCTCCTCCTCTTCCTTCGTTCCTCCTTTTCCTTTTTTTTCTTTTCTCCCTCCTCTCTGTCTTCTCTCTTCCTCCCTCCCTCCCTCTCCCGTTCTTTCCCTCTCTTTCTTCTTCCATTTCTCTCCCTTTCTCACTCCTATGTCCAAGTTTCCCTCTTCTTAAAAGGACTCCAGAGTAATCTCATCTTAATTACCTCTACAATGATCCTTTTTCCAAATATGGCCACATTCTAAGTACTGAGCAGTTAGGCCTTCAAAGTACTCTTTTGGGCACACAATTAAACCTGAAATAATGCCTAATTATGAAAGACAATGATTATGAGTGAATGATATAGAAAGGAACAGATGGGAATTTTTACTAACTATAATGACCCTAAAATACTTCAGTTACATATTTGTTTCATTCCTGTAATACAATGTATGGATATTTCTAACCAAAATATCTGTTTGAAATCTAAACAGGCAAGAAGGTTTGTTGCACTGGTGTAGCAACTGTTATTTTTATAAGAGATGAGCAGATACTGAAGCATTCTGAAAGCATTTTGTGTTTAATTGTGTGTCCACTGAGAGCAGAGCTACCCTACCATCCCTGGGCTCCTACCAGGGAAAAAGTCAACTCTGTCTTAATACAGGACAGGTATTCTGTATTCTGTGGTCTAGACCTTAGCTTACAGACAAGCAAATGTGTTTCTTTATAACTATGAGAGGAACTGACTACTGAAAACTCTTTACCAGGCAAAAACGAGCCAAACACCTATAGTGTCATAAACTAGGGAAGGTTGAGGCATTTTTTTAAGTTTTTAAGTAAGCTAGTCTTTTCCTGCTTTTCTTATTATGTTCCTTGTTACTGAAATTATCTTTTGATGTTATCCCAACAAAAGAATGCTTATTAGCTTTCAAGACAAAGATTTTTTTTAAGTTGCTAACTAAAAAGCACATCACAGGAAGTTTAGTGAATATAGGACTGGAGAGATGGCTCAGCAGTTAAGAGGACCGGCTGTTCATGTTGAGGTCCTGGATTCTAATCCAGAACCACATGGTGGCTAACAACGGCCTGTGACTTCAGTTCCAGGGGATCTGACACCCTCTTCTGGCCTCTGCCAGAAGTGCACAGCATGGGTACACTTACATATATGTAGGCATAACACTCAAACATGTAAAATAAAAATTAAATTAAAAAAACAAATAATAGATATTTTATTTTTAAAACTTCCCCAAATTGCTTGCACCTTGTTTTCATTTTAATAAAGGGCAGTTTTAATTGGGTGATATCATCAGATTCCAACAGAAGCTCTTTACTTTATGTTCAGAAATAGCTTTAAGAAAGCCACAGAGCCAGACATGGTGGCTCACACCTTTAACCCCAGCACTTAGGGGGCAGAAGCAGGTGGATCTCTTTGAGATGAAGGCCAGCCTGGTCTACATAGTGAGTTGCAGGCCAGCTGGGTTACAGGGACAGCCTGTCTCAAAACAAACAACAAAACAAAACAAAACAAATAAAACCATAGATTCCTTTAATTATCCACCACTTCTGAAAGGTTTACATTCATGGACATTCCTTGGGAAAAAAGGTTCCAGAATATTGAGAGAATTCTCAAAAGAAGTACCAACAAAAATGGCAACATTAAAAATGGCAACTAAACAAAAGGGAAATGTCACAGGTTAATCTGAATGATTAATTCTTCATCTTACAAGAGAAACAATTCTTATATACAAAGTTATATTTGGGGCAAGATCAAGGACTTTAATACTGGATCATCAAAATATTTTTTCAAATGAATAATGTTTAAAGAGAAATGCTCTGACTTCATATTTCTTGATTATATTTTATGTACATTTTTTTGTAAGCAGTCATGACATTCCATTTGTCTGTTTTCACTTTCGTGGTAGAAATAAATGCAATAAGATATTTCCAGTTGAAGGATTAGGTTTTAGGGAACAACTTCACCTGGGAACTTATGCAAAGTCATGTGCCAGCTCTACTGAGCCCTTTTGAATCAGCAGTTCTGGGTCAGGCTGGGTAGAGATCTGTGTTTTAAGAAGGCCTGCAGGTATTTCTTTCTGATGTTTCTCAAAGCAAGTTTGAGATATGAATAAGCATAACATTTCTAGACACTTACCATTTGTTGTGTAGATTGTGAATTTAACAGAAGCTATTATTTCATTATTTTCCAGGGTGTCACACTCGAAAGCCATAGGATGAATTTCTCTTTGTACTTCCAGGATGGCGGAGTCATTTGCAAGTATAACAGGTTGCTATTTAAAAAAAAAAGTATCTGTGTTCTTCACTGGGTTCACTGATAACAGATGAAGACAATCAAAGAGAAGTGACGACTTACCAAATCATTAGCCAGGACAGCAGGTTGGTAGCAGAAGGAAACAATTTGTTTTCCTTAAAAGAGTTGCTCACTGTCTTAGCCTAGTATACAATTAAGTGTGCATATGTATTTCAGAGTCAGATAATTCAGACATCAAATCTCAACCCTACCACTTCCTGCCTGACTATGAACAATACTCTCCTTGCCTCAATTACTTACCTATAAAATGACATAACTACTTATTTGTTAAAAATATACATAGGGTTGTTACATGTAAGAAGACTCTAACACTCAGTTTATATCTGGCCCTTTACTTACTTGATCTGGCTTTAGAAGTTTCCACATATATTTGAAACGATTTACAGGAGATATATGAACACATGCCAGTCTAACACTTTCAAGACTTTCAGAAATTGGTTTACCCCCTGCAAAAGAAGAAAACTTAAACAGGTAAATACCATTGGGTAGAAAATTGCTTTATACACTATACTCCTTTTTAAATCAAATTCTATTGCATCAGAAACCAAGTGCAAGGAGAGGTAACACCATCAGGACAGTGTCATATATACATATACACACATGCATGAATATATTAGGGCTAGGCAAGTTCTTAAAATCGGATTTCTAATTTTTCCAGTTGAATAAACCAATTCAAAGATGTGATGAAATCTACTCAAGACCCCAGAGAGAGTGAACACCAGGCCAAGTTAGAATCCTGGTCTCAAATCCTATTTCTCTACCCAGGGGTAAATAAAATTACGGTAAGGAAACCTTTGCATTGTCAGGGGACCCTTTCTCATATACCACACTACTTTTTGAAAGTCACCCTAAGATATAGAAGACAATTACATCCTGGAAATGTCTAATTTTATCATCCATTTATTATTTTGGGGGGAGGGTGATTATGCCAATTTTAAAATATATTTTTACTGAATTTTTGTACATCTTAATGTATCTGAACCTCTCCCCCATAGCCCACCCATACGAATTTGTCATGTCTGATTGAGTTTGCATGGGTCTTGTGCATGCTGTCACCATTGCTGTAAGTTCATACAAGCAAGGTCCCAGGAGCCTGTAAGACTCAGTCTCCTTATGGTCATGCACCTCAGAGGTGGCTCTCCATTTGTATGCAGAATGAATTGTTAGAGGAGAGGCAAGGTATTCAGCTTAGCCATGTTACTCTGAACCTCAAGATCTGCCAGGAGCATCTAATTTCCTGATTAAGAAATCTTAGAGAAGTTGAAATGTCAGAAAAGCCAATTTTATACAGAGCATCTCTCAGAGTTCCAAATTTAAGGTTTACCAATCTCCAGGTAAACTGCCATGGCCAAACATCAGAAATGTTTCACTACAGCAGGCTCAGACGCAGACCCCAAGTGCAGTGAAGCAGAGTCTTGGGCACCACTGAAAAATGTGAAGCCAAAGCAGGAAGTCCCTCAAAGTTCTTAGTGTCTAAAGAAGGGCAACTTAATTTTTATTACTTCTTTTTATCAGTCTATTGTCTCCTTGTATTCAGTAGTAGACTCATGTTAAAGATAGTTCCCCATGATAAACTCCTTCCCTCAGTCAATATGAGTTCAACTCACAGCCACAATCTACAGGTCCACGGCATTCTTCCACCCGAACAACACACTTGGATTCACCTCCAGGGCATCCATTTGTTAAAATAACTTCTCTAATACCAACACCTTTGGTTAAAGAAATGGGCAAATATTTTAAAAAAGTAACTGGAGAGAGTCTTTACTACCCATCTGTGTTAATAACTTCTTTTTTCAAGAATTTTTTCTTAATTTCATAACCTAATTTCCTAAATTTAAAATGGCAACAGTAAGAGTTTTCATAAGCTTCTCATCCTATTTAGTTCTTAAAACAGTATTTCCTCAAGAGAATTTCATAAGACACTAGTTGCTATGGCTATTACCATCAGAAAAATCTGCGATCACATGAATATTTGAGAATGGCATTAAATCAAATGAAGGGATTGCTTTAATATAAAAGTTTTGGGAAACTTTCAATATGCTAATAATATGCTATTGTACATAGTTTTTCATTGATTTAAAATATCAAAATTTTGCATTTTGATATTTTTGAAATTAGAACTCACTTTTAATTGTGTCATGTCATAAATTGGTAGCATATTTCCTTTCCAGAGTACATAAAATGTGATTTTTACAACCAATAAAATCAGATTTGACAAAATACACAGAATTACACAAATCTATTTGCTCATGGAACTTTTCAGAGTTGGGATTGGAGCTTCTGGAAGAAATTCCAAAATCACATTTTACCATGAATGATGCTTTTTTAGTATTTAGATTTGATAAGGTCTCTGTAGCAAATTAGATTGGATAAACTATTAACTATACCTCTATTTCCAGCTAGATACTGATTTTAGAGCTGCCACATTTTTGTGGCAAAAAATATCAACTCTTTATTGGCTGATCCTTGAGCTTCTCTAAGTCTGTCTTCAGACTGCCACAATGCGGGGAAGACAAGAAATGCCGGGTCAGCGACAATGCTGAATCATGTTCTGTGATAAACTGTAGCAGGCTAGCAAGAGTCCACCCTGAGTTCCTTGTGGGCTAGATTCCCTCTGCTCGTCCCATGAAGATGTTAATCATAAGCCATTCTCAAGGACAGGAAAAGCAGAAGACTACAGGTGGCTTACAAACTCAAGAGTGTGCAAATTACCCAGAGGTCTTTCTAAAATTCAAAGTCTGATTTAGTCTCAAAAAAGTCTGAAATTCTACATTTCTAACAAGTTTCTCAGTGACATGGAGCAGTTGTGCTGTGGATTACACCTTTGAGGTTCACAAGAAATGAACCTTATGAGGTCAAGAGATGGAATGTCAGAATAAATGTGTGATGTACACACAAAAAATCAACAAATTTTTAAAAATGAGTTATATTTGAGGAGGAAGCATAAAAATTTACATCATGCTAATAGTAGAGGTGATAAACTTACCATTGATATCTACCTGATGACTTTATAGCCATACACAGGTGCTAAGGATCAGAGTGCAACCAACTATGACTAGTAATAATCAGATACATACAGATTAGAGATGCATGCAGCAATATCTAAGTGTTATTAGCAAAAACAATGAGTCTTTCTGTATGAAACTGTGTATTTCACTAGTGAAATGGAGATCAACTGTGAACCTAAAAAAATTATAGCCATTTTTGAGGGAGATGTATCTTTGTTCTGGAAACTGTTTTTGAGTATGTTAAAGCTGTAATTAAAAGCTTCTTCTAAAAATAAAATATATTATATATATAATTTTAAAAAAAGATGATGAAAATGGCTTTCATATAGCACCACTTGAATTTCTGAAAGGTACCTAATTTAGAGGCATAGCCTCATTCTGAAATGCATAAATATCTTCCAGACAAGTATCTAACATATTTATTTAATCAATAAGTTCACTGGGATGTGTGTAGGTATGAGATTTTACAAATAGCACCAAAAGTTGCCTAGATATAAAAGATATTCCATTTTACCAGAAAAACATTGTTTTTGGTATTAAGTAATATTTTTACTAGGGCATTTTTCCTTTTCTGTATAGCTGCTATGAACAGATTTTTTAATAGTTTAGATATGAAATATTATGTTTAGGAACTATTTTTTCCTCATAACTTATCATCTGACATATTACATTTGTAGGTTATTTATCTGTTGCCCCTACTAAAATATACTTTCTTCGGGGATAGAGATCTTTGTTAGCTTTGTTCAATTCTGTATTCTCAGCACCCATAATGTTTGACATAAACAAACAAAAAAAGTCATTTTCTAAATGAATATATAATTTCTAAGGCAAGCATTTAAATAAAGGACAACATAAATTACTTGAGTTGTTATAAAAATAATTCTCTATAAAAATTTCTTAAGGAAGCAACAGCAATTAAAAAAATGAAAGAATCTAAGTTAAAACTGAGCAATTAAGGAATATTTTTACTAGGACAATCATAGGAATTTTTATCAAGATTCCCATTATTTTGACTGGCACTACAAAACTAAGGCCAAACCCATATTTTAACCTACAAAAATAATTCCTGCCGGGAGCTGGAAGGAAGGAAGATGTGAAGAGGGTTTTAATTAGGGGTTCAAAAAAGGTTCTAGAAATCCTGGTGATGGTTGTATAACAAAGTGGATGTGCTTAAAACCACTGAATTGTACACCTGAAAGTGGTTAAAGCACTAACTTTTATGTTAGGTATATTTTAACATACACATTAAAAAGCTATCAATTTAGATATAATTTTTGATCAATTATTTCATGCCCCCAAATTCTGATCTAGGTGTGCATGGACCAGAAGATCTAATTATTGTCCCCCCATTTCCTCTCATCAGTATTGATTTTTTCAAAGCAGATTCTACACAATTCACAACTGCGTTTGTGGATTATTTACTGTCTTCTCACCATCCTGTTTTAAGGCAATGGATATCAAAGCCAAGGGACCTCTCACTAAAGATCTCTTTCATTGTCAACTGATTAGAAGTGCAAATTCTTAGGCCTAGTGAGTCAGAAACTCTGGATAGGTACAACAATCTGCTTTAACAAGTCTTCCATGTGTTCAGGGTAGCCTTTAAGAACTAGTGGTCTGTTACTACACATGGAGCCTGAATAAGAGATTTTGCATAAAATCTCTGTTCACAGAATGGTCAAAATAGTCGGGTTGTTTCATCACTATCCCTCCTCATAAAGTTAATGCCTCTTTTCTCCAAGATATGACAGATTAGAGAAACAGAAAACCAATACAGTGTGGGCAAACATTTGTGAGATACACTGGAAGAGTCCTCATCTTTGAGTATCTGTGATGCAGAGGGAATTTTAGTTTAGTGAAGATAGTTTACAGGCAAAACAAATCCTGAAAAGATACCTCTTAAAGCAATTACTTAATGTTGTACATAATTATAGCTATTGGACATAGAACTCAATGAGACATAAAGAAAGTGTACAGATTACAAATAAACAGTTGTCACATAATCTGTTAAAATTATGTGAGTTACTTACCACAAGTGACTGTGCACATTCCAAACTCTACTTCCTTGACTACTGTCCTGTTCTGAACTAAATACAAAGTTTAAAAACATGTTATTTAGTCATATGAAAACTTTTCTAAGGGAAACACATCTTACTTGGGGATGAGAGGTACAAATAATTGTCACTATGGCAACAGATTTTACAAATTGTTTCTATTTAAACCAAGAGCAAAGTTGCTCCTCACACTACCAGTCCCCTTCTTAATCAAGAGACCTAAACTGGTAAAGAAGTTCATTAAATTAGGAAACAACCTTCAAAAGTTTGCCTTTGAACCTGGTCTATAGCTTCCAGCTTTTTTTCAACAGCTAATACACAGTGAATTAAAACTCAACTGAAAATATAATAAAGCACATATACCTATACACAAAGGCCTTCGAATTTTAAAAATCATTTTTTAATGTCCTCTATTTTCTAATGAAAAAGGAAAAGAAAAAAACCCTACAGTATACAACAATTTCTAATGAAAAATAAGTACTTAAATGAAGTGTGTATTAAAATTATAAAAGCTATCAATTGATTTTACTCACTTTCCAGGTTTAAATGGTAAATTTAGATGCTTCAATAATTCATTTCAATACTTTATTCAGCAGAATAATCAAGGATATACAATTATTTCAGAAGCTTAACAGTCATTTCTTTTTTTTTCTTCATTTTTTGTTATTTTGGGGTTTAATTTTGTTTCTATTTTTGAAAAAGATTTATTAATTTTTTTGTATGAATGTTTTGCCTATATGAATGTCTATGTACCACACATGTGCAGTGCCCGTAGATCCCCTGAATCTGGATCCCCTATAACTGGAGTTACAGGTAAGTGGGCAGGTATTAGCTGCCATGTGGGTGCTGGGAACCAAACCTGGATCTTCTGTGAGAGCATTCAGTACACTTAACTGCTGAGTCATCTCTCCAGCTCCTTGTTTCTATTTTTGAGACAATCTTGCTCTCTAACCCAGGTTAGCCTGGAGCTCAGTGATGCTCTTGTCTCAGCTTTCCTAGTGCCAGGATTACAGGTTTGAGTCACCACGCCAGGACATTTGCTTGTTTTCTAAAGATTCTCAAGTTTGTCATGAGTTCCTATGGTGTAACATATAACAGTCTTAAAAACACAGACTAAGACTGTAATCTCCGTTGAAAAAATGGGTTTCTAGAGGATAACTTTTGAATGGGATTGCATCTTCAGGCAACAAATCATATGAGAAAGCACATCAAACTTGAAGTCAAAAGTGTGGTTTGTATACTAATTAACTGAGTTCGAGCAAATCAATTAAATTGTTAGGCCTAGTTAACCCTTTGTAAAAATTTGAGAAAGACTATCTCATGATATAAGAATTAAATAAAATAACATGTGGGAAAGCATTCTATAAATTGTTAGGACTACAGACATGCTTCAGATATAATTGCCTGACAAACTCATTTTCTAGTTACTCATTTTATACACTACTTTCTTCCTATTTTCATTACTGTAAAACCTCAATAATTTCACCAGCCTTTTGTACTGTATTTGCAAGCACCAACTACAGTATTGTAAATGCAGAGTACACATTTGACATATGCAAGTCAATATCAACTTGTTAAATAAGTAATTTGGGCCATCATGATGATCAATTTTGGTTTTTAAAAATATTTTATTTTTTTAAATTTAATGTGTATGAGTGCTTTGCCTGCATGTGTGTATGTGCACCCTTGTCCTGCAATGCCCACAGAGGTTAGAAGAGGGCATTGGATCCCCTGTAACTGGAGTTACAGATGGGTGTTAGCTGCCATGTGGGTGCTGGAAACCGAACCCAGGTCCTCTCCAAGAGCTATCAATGCTCTTAACTGCTGAGCCAACTCTCCAGCCCCAATGATGATCAATTTTGAACTGACATTTTTATAACTGGAATACTTAAATGCTTTCAGTTGACACATTATGGGATAAAAGTTAAAAACCTAAATCCTGAGCATAAAAATCACATATAAGAGAATGAATACCAGGCTACTTTAAAACACAACCTCCTCAAAACCACCAATTGATCTTTGCTACTTAAGGAACATATTCAGTTTATTGTAATTTGAATTTCCACAGAGGTAAAAACAGATTAAGCCAGTTTCTAAAGTTCCTTTCAACTTTAATGTTTTTGATGTACTGAGTGTCCATTGGATCATTTAGTCATTTTTATCAAATGGGAATCCTACAATGGTGGGTCAGAAAAATTATTTGTATCTGGACTTCAATGTGGCATTTATCAAAAATGTCCTTTATATATCAATGTGTAACATGGAAAATAAAGTCTGAATATCAGTAAAACTGGAAGACCCACATATGCTAAATAATCAGCCGGTATCATTGTAGAAGGAATCATGTGTCACATGGCTATGTCTTGGTCAATATTTTATTAATGACCTATAAAAAGAATCTTAATATTTTGCTGACTGAATCCTTCAAAGCCAGGAAGGCAGCAAATATATTTGGTGATAAATTTGGATCAAAAAGTGAAAAGGTGAAGAAAAGCCAAAACTAACAAAATGAAATGCCAGAGAAACCAAAAATTCTATGGGTAAAACTGAAACGTTAACTGTCCAGAAATTCTGATAGGCGAAAGAGTAAGCAGTAAGTAAGCAGTGGGTTCAACAGTGAGTTCCAAAGGAGGCCAGAGTGTACTGGGGACTCCCGGACACTCCTCTGAAGCCTCCACCCTTGCCGATGCAGGTAGTCATTCTGCTACTTGCTCTCAACAGCACTGTGACTGGCAGCACACACCATCAGGGCACAACTGTAATCCTGAAAGTGTCTTTTTTGGGAGAAGGTTTATAAGGTTTGTATTTCGTGACTTTTACTCTTTCTTAAAATAAAGGAAATCATTTTATTACAGTAATGGTAATTGAACCTAGGGTATCACACATGCTAGGCTAGTGTTCCATCCTGAACTACATACTTAGCTCTCTTTTCTTTAAACTTTTTGAGGCAAGAATTCATTAAATTACCCAATCTGGCTTTGAACTCACTTTGGAGTCCAAGCCAGCCTTCAATTTGCAGTGTTCAAATGCCTCAGCCTCTCAAAAACCGGGATTACAGACCTATGCCACCAGGCCCAGGCATAGCTATATTTTTATAGAATGGAATGAAACTGATTTTATACTTCATTATCTAGATCTACTGAATCCTTTTAAAAGCCTAAGAATACATCAATCTAGAATGTTTATATTTTAAAAGGTACACAAGAAATATAAAGTATAGAGGAGTTAATCTAGCATACTATCTGTGCTATTTCATCTTGAAACATTATTTCATTGCTCACCAATTATTCCCAACTATATTATTAAAAGACTAAAATATTAAAATGGAACAATGATTGGAATTGTCTAGAAAGATGGTATAATTGTGAAATGAGCCATAGCTCCCAGGCCCTCTCCTTCTTACTCTGTTTCTGATTTCAATGAACCTAGTTGAGGTTTGAGAATTGTTCTTTTTTCCCTGATAACAGTAAAAAGATGAAAATGGTCAGGGATGAACATTTCACAATTAATAAATAAATCAGAAGATGAACAGATAGATAACAACATGAATGATAATAGTGATACTAATTTTATAAACAAAATCTGCTTGACATCTTAAATGAATATTCAGAATTCTCTGAAAATCAATGAGCAGACACTGCTTCTAAAGATAAAGAGCACACATAGTACAGCTTTCACGAGAAGGGATTTGATTCTAAAATACTTTGTGACAAAAACCTGAGCCATCTTGTTTTTTAAAAAGCAACAGGGACAGTATTCTTTCCTTTGACATGTTTATACATCAAATTCACTTGACGAAATAAGTAGATAAATCATGACAGGAGGTCTGTATGCAGGAACTGAAAGAAGACAGGTGATGTTGAAATGAATAAAACTCATTGAACTAGTCATCCAGTTGGCATTTGTGAATCTAAAAAATGAAATGCTTTGCAATTATGCTGCAAAGAATGTGGGCCTTTAATGCTTTTCTGAAGTATCGTTTTGAAAAAACAAGTGCAAAAAGAACTACAATAACGATAACTAGATTCTAGTAGAGATGTTGACATCTGAAGTCATATTTACATCATGGATGTTGACATCTGAAGTCATATTTACGTCATGGATGTTGACATCTGAAGTCATATTTATATCATGGATGTTGACATCTGAAGTCGTATTTACATCATGGATGCGTTTCAGATGCATGCTAAAAAACTAAGTAACTTAACTTTTGAGTTCGAATGTAAGACACTAAGACTCCATCACCTGGGTTTTGCCTAAATAACACGTATTATTTTACAGCTGGAAGCATCCCTTGACCAGTTTAATACAAAAATTGTTCATTCCAAGGGCAGAATGAGGTTGTAGCTATGAATTGTCTGTTTTTTCCACATTCCCACCATCAAGGAACCTTCAAACTCTAATGCTGCCAAGGCAGGATCCTCCTATTAACCTCAGTCAATTTCTTTCTGATGCTGAGACTTTGTCATTAGAAAATAAAAGAAAGGACGACAGATAAAGCACCCACTCTATATGTACAGATTGAGAAGACACCAAGAAAGTTAGAGATATACAAAGACTCGGCTGGATCTTTCTGGAGGAAGGGAATCACCGTCCTGTAGAAGCCTGACAACTTCCTACTACCTTTTTACTGCCAGCACCTGAGTTACTACTTCTCAATGGAACATGTGCTACAGCTTGTAAGGCAAGCTGAGGGTACCACTCATTCCCTCTTGTATCACACTTCATCTAACAATGCCATTAGTTGGATCCTTTGTCTTCTGCTGTCATGAGTCATTGAAAGTTATACAGAGGACACCACCGGCTGTAAGAGTGCTGAGGTTAGGGGCTGCACCAAGCTTACAGGCCTTCAGGGCAATTTTGTCAGCGTAACGGACGTCTAGACGTGTCACAGTAAAAAGAATCCTGACTTCCCTTGAATTCCCATCTCAAGAACAGGGAAGGAAGAGGACGTTAAATTCATTTTGGAATTTAAAAAATACAAGAAAAGACAACTTGCAATGGGAAGGGAAGATGACTGAACGGGAGTCAAGAAACGATTCCCCATGGCGGGACGCTAGCCTATCCCTTAAAAACATGATTTTCCTCAGCCAAAGTAATAACGTATTTCTTAGCAGTTTCTATACGTGTGCTTTTCTGAAGGCCGGAAGAGGCACTAAACCGGCAGGCTGGGCCGGCACGCAGCGGGCGCACGCTACAGACGGTGGTGCGGCAGTCGGCTGGGAGGAGGCCAGCCGCCCGCCCTCACCTTCCTCCTCGGCCTCAGCCGAGGCGTCGCTCTCTGGCTCCTCGCTGTCGTTCTCCGCCTCTTCGTAGGTCTCGGTGTCGCCCTCGTCCTCGCCCTCGCGGACTCCGCCAGGATCCTGGAGAGCGGTGACATTGGCCCCACGCGAGGGCTGCAGGCCGGCCAGGAGCAGCCAGCCGACGGCCAGCAGAAGCGCGGCGGGGCAGCCCGCGCCCTGGGCGCGCATAGTTCCCGGGCGCACTGCCGCCCAACGCACAGTCGAAGCCCGCGCTCCCCAGGAGAGGCGCGACGGACAGAGGCCGGCGCTCCGCTGAGAAGCCGCGCGCAGGGCAACCATTGACGCGTCACCGCGCGTCACCGGGCCAGGGCCTTGCTGGGGTTCGAGGCCTGGACGGCGGGGCGCGCGTGCCGAGGGGCGGGAACGCGCGGGCCGGGGGACGCGGGGGTGGGGGCATGGGAAACGCATGGCTAGTGGATGGTCTCAGCGCGCTGGGCGGGAGTTCGCCAAGTGAGAGGTGTGGGACGGGCAGGGCACTGGAAACGCGCCCACTTAGGTGGCCTTTTGTGCAAGTTCACTCCCTGAGCACGGCTGTCTATCCTGCGAGTCGCCCTGAGCTCCAGTCTCCTGCCACCTGCTTCTGAGGTCAGCTGCTTGTGTTGGTTGGTTAACCCAGCGGCCTTCCAACGTCCTCGCACATCTTCCTTCTTTTCGTCTAAGACATTCCTTTTCATGTTTCCTGGGCGTACTGGTTTCGAACTAGACTCATCAAGCTCACTTCAAGTGAGTTGGTTTCAAAATTCCCTAGCCAGACTCTCCAACTTGGGATATATTAAGAATTCATAAAGGTCTTTCTAAGAATGATACCTCAGAGCTTCTTAGAGGTAGACTGGGGCAGAAGAAGAAACGATGTTCATTTGTCAAGTTATTTGCCTCAAATATGGTATTGGAGTACCTGATGCTAGGATACCAAATAGGGGATGCAGGATTCTACTTCATTTCTTCATTAAGAGAGGCTTTTGGATCTTGTTGTCTTTTAACAATATTGGATCTCTCTGAAGTTTGATTTGGAGAAAACATCTTTTGGTCACTGTGAAAGATGTCTTTTACTAAAGTTGAGTCAGACTGAAATCTAGAATCAATCAATATCTTGCATTTCACCTGAATCAGTAGGAAAAGGTTAGATCTTAAGTACAATTTCCCATTGCCTTATTCAGTACCAATATGTGTAATTATGTCATATGAACAAAGAATAAAGTTCAATTAAGTCCCTTCCACTGATGATGTTTTCAGTGATCATGAGTTCATATTTCTTCTTTAAGAGTAGAATCATAGACTTTTTGATTCAGAAACCTGGAAATCATTAAATTCCAATCCCCTCATTATTAAGTGATGAGGTTGGGAACTGGAAAGATTAAATCACAAGTCCAAGATCATCCAGCAAAACTTTGCAAAGCTGGTCTCCCAACCAGCGCTCTGAAATGTTCATTCATTGCTTAGTGAGTCCTGTAATGTAAAAACTAAGAAGATGTATTTAGACTGGGCAGAAGAGTTTAATCACTGAAAAAAAAAAATCAGGGTTGTAATTTTTTTAAAGTTTTGTTCCGAATTTGACTTTATCTAGTAGTTGCCATATAGGAGCTTGCTATTGTTCAGTGATTTTTAAAAAGATACAGAGGTGGTAATAGTTTGAGGTTCACTATTTAAATTCCTGTGGCACACAAGATGAGTCACATACTACAGATGCATCCAGGCATTAACTAGCTTCTGGAACTCTTGGAGAACCAGTGTCAATTGACTTACAGGTGAGCATCTAACAGGTTCTTTTAGAGCCACTTGTTTGTAGCAAAAGTAGATTACTTGAAGCAAAAGCAGAAATTTTTATTTGAACTTGTTTTCTCATGAAGCCCAGGCTTGAAAGAACAAGAACTTCTAAAACGATCTGTATTAAAGTTGAAATTAGTATTGGTAAGGTGTCTCTGGGAATGTTGTCTATGAACTAAAATATCATGAAATATTATACTTCTTAAGACTTTATAAGACATTACAGGGAGAAATTTTTAAATGATCTTTAGAAATAAAGCCCTTGATTCCTGGCCAAATGAAAGATCAAATGCTTTCTTTTATTAATGTTGAGAAAAATAAATTAAAAATTATGCACCCAAATATGACCCTTAAAAAGATGGTGCTTTGTGACAGTCAAATTGTTGAGTGTTTCACATTTAATTTTAGTACCTCTTTTCCTCAAGATAATATTCTTTTGGAGAAGTCCCATAAACCCTAAATTCAAAGAAACAGTAATGACCTATAAACAAACAGCTCCAAAAGGAACCCAAACAGGTCTTAAAGATATGACTGTGAGGTAAAGAATATTAAAATAATAACATTGAATTTATTTATGTTAAAATTATATCTATGATAGTAATATGTCTCCTGCAAAGAATTGTGCTAATGTGAGGTTCTTGTATAAGAAAAAGCAGATTTATCCTCAAGAACAGTGAACTTTCACACTCTCAGACAAAAAGTTTTTGTTTGGTTTGGTTCTGTTTTCTTACAATCATGAAGACTGAGCCAGCATTGAGGATGGAACTTAAGGCCTTGGGCTTGCTGGGCAAGAGCTCTACCACTGAGCTATGTATTGAGCCCTGAAACTTACATGCTTTCTAACTGAAACCACACATAAGTAATGGGTAGACATTTAGCCAGAGATTTTAAAAGTTAACTCTTTTCTGGTCTTTGGATACCAAAGAATAGTAACTCCAACTTCAGCCCCTGATTTTCAGCTCTGACTTGCCTTGCCTGGTTCACTCTGTTCACCTCACCCTTCTGCCCCAACTCTAAGGGGCAAGGATGAGAACCCTAGCTAAATATATAAGAAAGCTAGTCAAACATGGGCCTGTGAGCAAGCCAATAAGCAGCATTCCTCTGTGGTTTCTGCTTCAAGCTCATTCAGAGCTCCTGCCCTGACTTCTTCAGTGACAGACTGTGGCCTGGAAGTATAAGCCAGATAAATCCTTTCTTCTCTGAAGTTGCTTTTGGTCAGAGTGCTGTATCACAGAAGACAAAAAGGAAACTAGAGCTCTATCTGTCGATTGGTGTTTGGTCTTCTCTGAGCTGACATTGAGCTTTCTTGATGTACCACAGACAGGAAACTCATTCCTTTTTCCTATCTCCACTCCACCCACCCTAGAGGACTATTCTTTGTTAAAAAAAAATACCACTTTGAATATTTTCGTGTGCGTGATATAAGCATGTGAAAGACTGTTCCCTTTAGGCTCCAAATATTTGAACATTTGATCAGTTGGTGGTACTGTTTGGGGAGGGTCAGGGAACCTTTAGAAGGTGTGGTCATTCTGGAGGAAGCCTGTCACTGAAGATGGCTTTAAGCTTGGTCCATTTCCAGTTTTGCTCTCAGCTTCCTATGTGTGTTTGAAGATGTGAGTTTTTAGCTAATTCTCCAGCCACCTCCTGCTGCCATGGTGGACTCTTATCCCTTTGGAATCTTAAACCCAGTAAACTCTTCTTTCTGTAAGCTCCCTTGGTCATGGAACTTTATCACAGTCAGAAAAGGGAACTAATAGAAAGCACAAGTTAATTAAGGCCAGAATAAAGGATCACCATAAAAATGTAAAAACAAACACATAAGAATTACAAATGTGAGATAAAATAACAGAAAGTTAAACATTCACATCTTTAAGCACACACAGGAAGCAGAGCGTGCAGAACTGGAAATGTGGCAAACTCAAGTCTGTGCTCAGTGACAGGCCTGTAATCTCGGGTACTTGAGGGGTTAAGGCAGGTAGATCACAAATTCCAGACTTTTCTGGGCTTAGCAAGTTCAAGGCTACCTTGGGCAACTTAGCAAGACCCTGTCTTTAAATAAAAAGAAAAAGAAGAGCTGTGGATATATTTTTGTGGTAGAGCTCTTGCTTAGCATGTGTGAGACTCTAGAATCACTCTTCAAGACTGAAAAGAGCCAAGTCCAGTTAACAGTTTGAGATGACTGATAGAATGTGGGTCTGCACCTCTATGCCAAATCCCATAGCCTGAACCAGACTATGCCCCCTGCAAGCTCTCCCTAGGACAGAGAATTAAGCAGCACTCTGTGTTGTGACTTGACAACTCTCAATTTATAGTATCTGCTTTCTCCATGCTCCCTGTCATGTGTGCTATTCTGAAGTAAAGTAAATCACATATGAAGTTTCCTGCCACCCCTAAAACATATAAAAAGATCTTTTATTCTTTGGGGGGGTCTTTGAGAGCTGCTCTCTGAAGAGGCTCTTCTGGCATCCTCCTGCAATCAATCTCTCTCTCTCTCTCTCTCTCTCTCTCTCTCTCTCTCTCTCTCTCTCGCCAAGAAAATTACTGGACAAGAACCCTCACAATTGA